CTGTGTTTGGTTTGCATGAACACTTGGTCACAGATATAGATTTGCATGTTTTTGCCGATCTGTTCTAATTCCCCAAAGCTATGCAATATTGGTTGATTTTATCTGTCATTCCTACCTCGATCTATAGCTCAGCTCTCATTGACTATTCTGGAAGCTGCAGAAACTGTTGTAAGTGCGTGTGTGTTTGTTTTCGCTTTTGTATTATCTGGCCGTAGTAGCAATACTCTGGTTCATACAGTTATTTTTGTAATCAAGGAACTGAAAAACAAGGAAAGAGAGCTCACATTCCCGGATGTCTAGTCCAGCACAGCAAGCGTGCAAAACCAGCCACGAGCCTAGGCGCGCATGTGCCTTATGCCACCTACGGATACAGCAGGTTGTATTTGAGATGTTCTATGCAAGGTCATCCTTGAAAGTGCATTTGGGGTTAATAAGACGTATGCATCTTGTTCCCTCCATTTGATCTTGAGGGGCAAGTCCATAAAAACGGTACACACTGCGATACCAATCCTGCATTAAAGGTCATGAACTATGCATGATCATACCCACAAATATACTACAATTGGCTGTACCTGCCAAATATGGGACAAGTTGCTCATCAGAAAGGTGGTGGCCATATTTTATGCATAAGTATAGGATATTAGAGAGGTTCCGCATAACGTAATTACGTTAGTAAAAAACGTAGTCGATCTACGGAAAGTCTTACGTAAACTGCATGCGGATCTGGGTTCCGCCATACGGAGTTTTCAAATCACGTAGCTGCCCTTGGCAACTCCGAACGCGGCAGTGTACGACCAGATCGACATGGGGAAAGAGTCATAAATTTGTACCCAATCCATTAACGGACCAGCTACGTTATCAAAGCCCTATCTACGTACTCTCCGTAGACAACTTTCCGTAAGTGGAGTGCAAACTCGCGAATTCACGGGTTTTTCCCGCCCACTAACGTAAAGTTGCTCAACTTTACGTAGTGCGGAACCTCTCTATTATCCAAGAACGATTACGTTACCTTCCGAATGTCATCCCGACTGCGTAGCAGGAGAGATTATATGAGAGTACGGCAACACCCCAGTGGGCGGGTCAATATCCTACTTATTTCAGGTACATCTACGCATTTTGGGGTTCCACGCAACTGCATCCCGAATACAATTACCAAAAAGAAGATGCTGCCTTTCTTTTCAATCCAGTCAAGGTTTGAGCGCGATGGAGACAAGTTGCATTTGTAGTTGGACTAAAGAATTGATGAAGATTGCACTGCTATTTTATGCAGTATTGACGGTCAATGTGATCCAAATCACGGCGAGATACGTCATTAGGTATCCTAGTGCGGACTTCCTTGTCATTGGATGGGTGTGGAACTTGCAACGGTTTGGAATCCTTGTTGAACACTTTGCGTGCAGGCAGTAACTACATTGTACACATCGTCGGACATTGGCGCCAGTGAGTAAAGTGGATTTCGTTGTATCAAGACTCTTGGTTGTATCACTATCGGCCGCTATGCAATCAGAAGAACGTTGACCTTGTTATGGGGGGGGGGAGTGCGCACGCATGTGCGTGTGTGTGTGAGTGTGTGTGTGGGGAGGGAGGTGTGTGGGTGTGTGTCTGAGTGTGGGCATGTGTGTGTGTGGGGGGGGGGGTGGGTGGGTGTGGGTGTGTGGATCTGTGGGTGTAGATGTGTGGGTGTAGATGTGCAAGGCTTTGATTTCTCTGTCTTCTCTTCTCTCTTCCTGTCGGTGTCTCCCGCTTCTGGTCCGGCATGACCCATGCTTTATGCGCGCTTGTTCCTGTTGATGTGATTTTTAAGCAAGTCATGCATGTGTCTACTGTGTCCTGCCACTACTCCAGCTTTGGGCGTGACCACGATATGTCTCCCCATTTCCTCCATTATCCTTTCTTTTCTCTTTGTGCTAAAAGCTTTCTTCTCATCGTGTCCACGATTTTCTTCTTCTTTTTCTCCTTTATTTCTTTTTTTCTTTCCTTCTTTTGTCTTCTTCCTTTGCTGAGAGCCTTGTGCTCCCATATTTCCTTTTCATCTGTGTCTGCTGCCGAGTTTCCCATTCCTGGTGTTACTTAGACTTCATTCGCTTCCTTGTCATTGGACATGTTCAGTCCGTTCGGTTTGCGAATTCAAATAAACACAACCAACAAACCATGAGCATATTGGATTTGTAGCAGCATCTATGTTTTAATGTTCTTGCGGGAATCGCACTGGATACAGTGTCATGATAATCACTGCAGGTCGCACCTTGCATGCAGATTACTTCACACCTTATCTACATCATACATGCATTGCTGAGCTCTTCTTCTTTCACACCCTTGAATATTCTGTACAAGATGTTTTCCTCTCGTTACGGTATCTCTCCTTGCACCTGCAATTAGTAATTTCACTCAGATGGTGAAACGTTGTGTTGATTTCGAGTTTAGAAAGAGTGAATGAGAACTGATGCGCTTCGAAGTCTCCTTTGTGTCGTATTGTGGAGTTGAATAGTGATTGGAGTTCGTTGTTTGCTTGTGTGGAATCTGGTTTTGGATGCAGTCGCGGAGGTAAGTTCTCTCAGTTTAGTTGAGTGCTACACTTTTACTGTACCGATGGTACACCCTGCATCGGCATGCTCCCACCCGCTCACGGTTCTGTGTAGTGTATTTTGTCGCCGGGTTTCTGAGTTAAAGGACTCCAGTGGGAAGATGCATTGCATGGAATCGAGAGAGGGTGGGGGCATGCCAAAGCAGGGTGCACCGTAGTAGGTACGGTAAAAGTGTATCCAGTTAATAATGAATATCAATCCTGCGCGGGGTTGTATTGGCTATTATTTCCCGGTCAGCAAGGCTCCTGATTGGCTGAAACAGGCATATCGAACTATACCATGGGATAAACACTATTTACCCACCCTGTATTTATGTTGTTAATACCAAAATTCATAACAACATGATTTTGCAACAATATTCTCAATCGCATTCCAGCAAACTCAAACTTACAATCTGGAGCACAAAAGTGGGATCCTGCATTAGGTGCATTAATATGTACACCATTAAGAAACCAATTTCCAAGACTATTACAAGAAGCTTGGGCTCTGTCATGGTAACCCTCATTGCATTGAGGTCTTACAGTACGCCTTCTCCAGCCTTGCATGTTGGTGTGAGGAAGGGATCCACTTCCATCAAGAAAATAAATTTTTGGACAATTTCCTGTAAACACGGGACAAGATAAACAAAATAATTGCAACAAAACAGATTAACGAGTGTGAACCTTATCAAACGCCAATGCAAGCAAACATCGACTTATGCCTCCGCCGTTGCATAAGTTATGCTTTGGCGGAAAATTTGGATTTTACTACGCCAAAAAAATGCGAGGGAAACCTTCGCTTTCGTGGATCTGCTTTGGCGAAACCTGCATGGGGTGGCTTTGGTGTGCTACTTCTGGCACTGAGTTCTGATGTTGTTTGGTTGCCGTTTGGTACTAGTATTCAGTTTTCATATTGTTCTTCTTTGCCATTGTACTGTCTGTTCTGGAGATCTTAAAAACAATACTGCATCGTTATGAGTGGATAGTTGGTGAGGGAATCCGTCTCCCAACTCCTTGGCCCCGATCGCAGACGAACTCCCTCCTTCTCTCTGCAAGCAATGCTTTCATCGGAGTACGCAACACTAGGACTGCAACCAGCGAGTACATGTAGCAGTGTACTCTGCCACACCCTCGCTGCAACTACAGGCATCCACGCAGTCGCTGGAGTCGATGATGGATCATGGAGGAAGCAACGACATGCTGCTATACAACTGTTTGAATTTGTTATCGATGATGTAAACAAAACTAATATTAAAGGGGCACTCCGGGAATATTTTCGGTGGTGTGTTCTCTTCATGGGGGCCTTATATGGCCCCCAAGGAATGGGGAATCGCGAAAACTAGGCCCAAAAAGTCGATATATGAAGCTAGGGAGGGCCAAGTTTGTCTCCTCTTTTGATGGTTTTGATGACGTCACGTGTGATTAGTATTCAAATTCTCTGCATTTGAAGATCTTAGTTGTTTGAATTTTCTGGTGATGAAGAACGATGTTTGGTCAACATTCCCAAGCTTCACAACTGCGACCATACTCTAAGGAACCTGAAGGACCTCCTGAGGTGCCACTGGTAGAAGCGCAGCCTGATGACGGCCAGGAAATTGGAGCGGACGACTTCACTGGTCGACAAGGAAATAACGATTGGTGTTCCTGCCAGAAATGTGGGGTGATGCAGAGGGCAGTCGATTACCTTCGCTGTCGAGAGAGCGCTGCAGCTGTTAGCATTGACAGCCCTTTGACGTGCGTTACACATCACCCCGACTTCGTGTCAGCTTGTCTAAAAAAACTGTTCTGACCATATGCCTCACGACATATAGAGAATTTCGGGATCCTCGTACGCGGACCAGTGAAGTCGTCCGCTCCAATCTCCTGGCCCTCATCAGGCTGCGCTTCTACCAGGGGCACCTCAGAGGGTCCTTCAGGTTCCTTAGAGTAGGTCCGCAGTTGTGAAGCTTGGGAATGTCGACCAAACATCGTTCTTCATCACCAGAAAATTCAAACAACTAAGATCTTCAAATGCAGAGAATTTGAATACTAATCACACGTGACGTCATCAAAACCATCAAAAGAGGAGACAAACTTGGCCCTCCCTGGCTTCATATATCGACTTTTTGGGTCTAGTTTTCGCGATTCCCCATTCCTTGGGGGCCATACAAGGCACCCATGAAGAGAACACACCACCGAAAATATTCCCGGAGTGCCCCTTTAATACATCCGAACTGTACTGGAGCGCAGTGAATGTGCCCCAAATCGACGAGTGTACTTGACAGGAGACATCCAGCAGCCTCTCTGTCATCCACGGTAGCTCTAAAAGTGAAGGTCGCTTCAACTCGGACAAGAACATCTAAAATTTCATAGGACATGGACTGTAGGTCTAAATGCTGCATTTGCATTCTCTCCGCCAAGGCAGAGCATTGAATAGCACAGTACGTGTATGTGTGATCAGCAAAAGCGGCTGGGGCAGTCATATACTTTTTCCCTCCGCAAAAGCGGTGCAAACTTTTCGTGTGTGACCGCGGCCTTACAAACGCTGATTAAACTACGAGCTACGGCTTCAAATAGCAAGATCTACCTTATAGGCGCGAATAGAAGCCCTGAGGCTCTATTTCTCCACAAGACATATTGACGGGGGTAATATTAGAGAAACGGCTCCATTGGAGAGAGGCATTCTTTTAGAAATATCAATAATTGGTTTCGCCCCATTCCTGCTGATCAGTGCATGCAGCAACTGCACTCAATCGTACGGTAACCACCCGTGTCTGCAGTTTGCGTGCAATAAGTGCACCCTGTTGCACGTCCATACTGCACACGGTTCATGTACTGCACTGCATTATACAGACTTTGCACACTCGATTATAGCCCCGGGCCTTTAGAGACCGGGCTTTACTAGAGACCGGGCTTTACTAGAGAGGTTTTGCATTCCGAATTTCGGAATGATTTTCGACTGTGCTTTTCCGAAAAAAGCGCGTTCCGAAAAACGGTATTTTCAGTGTTTTGCATTCCGAAAATCTGATTCGACTTCGTTTCCAAGGGTTGCCATGCAAAACAAAATGGAGAGCGTCGAAGGGGTTGAGCAGGATCAAATCCATGTGCGCAGGTCAAACTGAATTTGGGTGCGGTTCGAAGACGAGGATGGACTGATGGTGGACCAAGTGATCCAACAGCTGAAGACGAGGTTGGCGAACTACTGTCTTGTACTGTTAGTAGGCTCCAGGGCAAAGGAAGATAGAGTGTGATGAAGTGTGAGAAGATTAAGCAACATGGCGAGATCAGCGAGAGCAGCAAAACCAGCAAAAATCAAAATTACATACGTGGAAATTTTTTCAAATAATCGAGAGCAGCAGAAAGCAAAAATACAAACATGAAAAATACACTTTTTTGCATTCAAATATGCACTCCCAAACATGAAAGAGCCGAAAATCTATTTTCGGAAAACCATGCACTTTCGCCACCACACTTCCGAAAGTTCGACTACTTTTTCGACTGCTGCCGCCACATTCCGAAAATAATTCCGAAATTCGGAATGCAAAACCTCTCTATTATTTCGATTCCGTCTGAGCTTTATTTCAGAGGGGCTCTATTTTAGAGGGGCTCTATTCGAAGGGGGGGTTGTATTCGAGCCCGTACGGTATACACCTGCAGGTAGTAGAGCACCTCTTCTAGGACTGAGGATATGTCACCCATCTTCATTCTTGGGTTGTCGATCAACTCGATCAAATCCGTCGATCTGCAATATCACGCGGCAGTAGGCTCGCGGCCAGTTTCAGGACGTAAAAATATCTTGCTTTGATCGCACAAATGAGGCATGGGCAGCGGAAACCAGGGGTAGGTGATATTTGGCGAGAATGAGTTCTTGTTGTCTTTGAGCTGTTCACAAAAGGAGTCATCTATGGGCCAAATTTTGGAGCTCTAGGCACCTTACAAGATGGAAAAAATAACACCCGAAATCATGGGTGAAGGTCGACAAAAATGATCAGCAGAAAGCAAAATGGAACGCAGTTACAATTGGCTCTGGTGGAGTGGTTGAGAATAATTTAGCATATAAGTTTCCAGGGAGGCACAGAGTACTATCGTTAATAGCGATTAACATTACTGCCTGCACTTGCTGCCATGAACTTGAAAACTCTATCCCTGTCATACGCAGGTCTGGTTTTGGATGCAGACTTGTTAGACAGAAAGAAGCCAAGCAGGTGAAGTTTTACATGGCTGGCAAGAACCTACAAGACTAGATATGCATGCTGGGTCAAGCCATACATCCACGAAGCACGTCTCGCTCTCCTACGCACAACCATTCGTACATACATGCATTATACGGTGACAAATTTCATGCACGCAGCAAGCATACACGTCTACTTGCAATAATTCTATTCACAAAACATCTTGTATCAAGTTGATTGTTCCAACTAGGAACACACACAGTGACACGTCTTGCCAAACTTGACACTTGACTGACTCACGACTGCCATCTGGAGCACACGGGGAGCACGCTGCACCTTCCTCTCAAATCAACTTCATGACTATTATCCCCAAAGTCGCAACTTCTAAGTTCACCTTGTATCAAGATGCAATTTAGTGAAATTTGGAGATGACAGCCATTGCTTTCCTGGATGTAGCCATGGCTCTATGTGGCAATGATGTGGAGACTACTCAGGTGAGTTAATGTCGGCATTGTGGTGGTTTGTTCTTAACTCCGTTGTGTACGCTGTACCAGCGCTCGTTTTTGGACCCAAATTTAAGTCGTATTTTGGGCCCATTTCGAGGTGGTCTCCAGTAGTTGCAACGAGCCCTTTTGTATGGCTGCTGTAGACCCCAAAGGAAATCTAAAGTAAAACCTGGTTTTAGCGGCCTTTTCCATGCATTGGCAACTCTACACTGAACCTGTTGGACCTGCTTCTAAAGACCAGCTGGCTTTAACAAACGCTTTTGCTTGCACTGCGAGGTGGTTGCTGAAACCAGTTTTTACTTTGCTTACAAATGTTGAGCGAAGCCGGAGAAATGGCTCAGCCCAGCTTTTCTGGTTTTCTCAGACATGATTTCTTAAGATAACGGGTCTCATACGGCACCTGAATACTTCTGCAATTACGTACTTAACCTGGCTTTGCCGGCGGAACAAGAGATACATGAGTCTACGGGTGATGCCAAACAGATTATCGCCACTATGGCGAGGGCAGCCTGCAACTGAACACACACACATACACACACAAATACACACACATACACACACATACACACACACACACACACACACACGCACGCACACCCACACACACATACTTTGTCCAAGTCATCAATATTGTCGCTTATCCTTCGGCAATTTGAACTTAGATATTGGACAAAAAAGTGTGCACTTAAGGTGATACAACTTGGTACAGTACGATGGATGGTAAGGTATAGAATACACAACTAGACACGAGAAATATATTGTTAAAAGAAAGGGTTCATGTTTTTCGTCGTCTTCCTCGGCACTGCTCTTGGCGCTGGTGACACATATTTTTGCTCGACATCTACTCCCTCGCTTTCGAAAGCTCATCTCTCTTCCTCACCCCGCCTGGCTATTTTCTAAAGGGAAGTCGACCGTGATGGCCGTCTTTTCTATAGGACTTTGCTTGTGGAGAATGGCTGCCTATGTGGCTCAAATCATTCGCCGTTCTTTGGAAAAATGCCGTTCTTTGAACGATGACGCGTAATAATAAATAATATTTCGACGGGTTTGTGTACCGGTCATGTCAAGAACAAGAAGTCGTACAACTCCCTGGTCAAGAACCACCTTTCCGCTTCCGTCGGACGCCACCACCCCATGATCAGGCGTCAGATGTGGCTCCTTAACGGTGGGGGAGGATAGATCAGATCCACCAACCATAGGCCAAAGGCCTAAATCCCATTTCCACATCCATGTTTTACTCATGCCAGGCCACGAGTTCCCAATTAACTGTGGGTCGCAACACGGTTGGAAAAATCCTTCCGCTTCCAAGCAGGACTTAGACCTGGTACCTCTCGTTTCTCAATCATGGTCTTAGACCAACCCACTGTGCCTGCCTGCTACTCGTACAGTACTTTTATCGTTTTGGTGCTGGACAGAGTGTTGAGCCGGAGGTTTGAGAACTACGATCTGAGCTTGGGGACCGATCCCCGAGGTAGGCGATATCGGCCGTTTTGCAAGGGCACTGTATACTGTAACCACATACCATCGATCCCGGCTTTTGATTTCAGATCCTTGTTGATGTTGACATCACTTGTTTATCTTGCCTTGCTGCAGTCACGCCACCAGCAGCTATCTTCGTAACTACTCCCTAGACGCGTGGTCATTTCTTTGCTGGCATTGTTAGTTGACCTAACCCTGATTGCAAGAGGACGTAAAAATGGAACTGGGTGCGAGCAGCCGATTGTTTTCTTGCGCTTTGCGCTACTCTTGCTGGTGCAGTGTGACAAAATGTTCTGATGCATTGTGGTGTCAATCAGAATCACCTATCCATCGCTGTCGAAATCCAACAGAAATCTAGGTAGACAGTTCCAGTATTAGTTAGCTAGCCTCGTTCGGAAAAGTGCTGAACATCACGCAACTGCATTGTAAATAAAGGGTGAGGTTGTCAACTGACAACCACTCTATTTGAATTGCAACTAAATAGAGCGGTTGTCAGTTGACAAACCCCCTTGCATACATGTTCCAGTTTTGCCGGAATTCGCAGCATGCAGAGATGTGTGGGTTTTCCTCCGGTTCGGTGAGGAGCAAGCGTAAGTCATATCTCCATTGTGTACATTGTACCAGCGCTCGTTTTTGGACCCAAAATTCACACGTATTTTGGGTCCATTTCGAGGTGGTCCCCAGTAGGTGTCAAGGTGTCCGTAAGTTTTAAAAGCAACGAGCTCTTTTGCATGGCTGCTGTAGACCCCAAAGGAAACCTACTCGCAAAATTTGAGCGAAATCGGAGAGATGGCCCAGCCCAGCTTTTCTGGTTTTCTCAGACGTACTCTTATGGTGGCTCGTACCCTAAATCGAAAACTAGTCCTTTAAGCATCCTTTTGCCAGGTTTTTGGAGTAGAAATATCATGAGTTTTGCCACTCGCGGCTGCGAACCTCCCGGTGAAAACTTGTTTTCTTCTTTTTCGGTACTGGTTTCGACAAGAATAGCTTCTATAATCGACTCAAAGGTATGTTCTGGTGGTAACAGAAACATTTAACTTGGTAGGCACTTTTTCATCAATCAAAGGAACATACTTATCAGATTTAAAGGAAATCCAGAAACATGGGAAATTTTGGGCACAAATTATGCGATCGAGTCCACCAACTGAACCAGATTTTGAACAGTCAGACGTGCACAATCTAGCACAAAAACTGACAGGGAGTACTGAGACATTCCAAATCCAGAAAGCAGCTTCAATTTACTAGTACTTGATGGCAGCAATATGTAAATTTAACCCCAAATCGACAAATTGATAGCACTTGACAAAGTATAAGTAGTGAATGGGCTGCTGGTAGCTCCAGTGGAATATAACTTTGCAGACTCTTCCAATCACTATATCAGTATACCTCTGCAAAATTTGAATGAAATCTATTGGGCCATTATGTTCGACTATAATGTTTGGTCCATTGCACATGTCAGCTAACATTGGATTCAGTGAACCGTGAATCAATGTGAAGTCACATTGATTCAATGTAAAATATCTAATGTTTAGAGTACAAACCACATAGCTGGCTTTACTTCTTGAACAAATGAAGAAAATCTATAGGTCTAATTTCGGGGAGCACCCCGCGGAGTACCGATATTTACGACCTAACCCTCATGAGATTGTTAGTATGGGCAGCCAAGAACCCTGAAAAGAAAGCCAAGCCATCCTATTTGGCTTAGCTTGACTGCAGAAGTCACTACTCAGATATCTGAAAAGAAAACTACAACATTTAGTTTGAACTCTACAACAGAAGAGGCAAAATGCTGGAAAATGTTTTTTGTGAAAAATGCTCCAAAAAAGCAGACATTTTAAATCGGGTTTTAACCATGAAGAAGTGCTTCACTTATTCCCATTTTCGGGTCTGACAATATTCCGGGAGCATTAAAGAGCTGTGCAATTTTGAACAAAATCGATGGGGCGTTTGCATTTTCCGATTTGGGTACAGAAACCCTGCATAAACGTGTGTATGTTTGTTTTGAGGGGAGGGACAGGGGAGAAATGGACAAGTATCTTCCTGAAAATAAATCGCTATTTACGGAAGAGGAAGGGTGAATGAATTAAATTTTTAACACTAAAAAAAATCACGGTTCCTTGAGACTCGGCTGGAAGCCGAGCTTTCCGCATCCGCAGGAACGCCGCCACCCTCTTGTATGAAGGCACTAAACCTCACAATAATCACAGCCGCACTGAACAAAGGACAGTGAGAACCCCATTCCCCTCCTTACTATACCACTTGACATGCAGTGTAAACGTAAAAGAATAATAGACAAGTGGCATAGTAAATAATTCACCGTTCCTTGAGATTGAAAAAAAAACAGATCGTTCAGCCTGGGTGTGATGATATTGTGAGGTGTTGTGAAAATTTTAAATTACAGTTTTTTGCTTTTTGCTAATTTCCTACTTCTTGGACGGGGCCCGGTGCGAAGACAGACCTACAACAGAAGAACCCAACACTGACCACAAAAATTCTTTTTTGGAAAACTGCCCTAAAGCCGTTTTTCTTGCCTTAAGGGGGCAGCCTACACATAAATTTCATATGGCATTCAATTGACCGCAACTTTGGTGTTTCTCAATGGATTTGAGTGAAATTTGAACACACACTCCTGCCACTATGCTGGCCCCCAGGACATGATTTACAAGTTCTTGCGCCTCATTGACAGGCTTTCCAGGCCGGAAAAACTCAAATTTCCAGCATAGTGCCACGGTGTGCGAGCCACCCAGGAGCCAAACAAATGCATTTACAATTTTTTCACATTTTTCGTACCCATTCTGTCCGTGCGTGGGACCCAAACCTAAAACAAGTCCAGAAGCAGCCATGGGTGGTGGGGTAGGGCCCCTCAACGTGGCCCTGCAATCTGTCACAATGGAACGAGTGGGCGTTCTCTCACAGACTCCCACAGACCCAAGTCAATTTTTGAATTTTTTTAGGTTTAGGACGTGCTACGAGGTCGTACCTTTGATACAACATCCAGTGCTGGGACGTCCACAGCAAGCCATTTCCACAGCGCTGCACACCAAATCCAGGATACTCTCAGAAACCGGCAAAGACTACCACTCACGTTTCACTACTGCCTAGTAGGCTAGTACTGAATCCTACCTGACTTCTTGACACGACTCAAACTTGCCAAAGTCACTAAATCAACGTCAACTACAATAATTAAGCCACATATCTGCAACGTCACGAGGGTGCTGGCAAAAGTCCTGCTGCACGGCGGCGGGCAAAGCCCGCCGCCGTGCAGCCCAATACGTGGTTTTTAAAGTTATTTTTTGGACTTTTTTTTACTTGGAGCAAAATTCTGCACACTTTCGCGTGTTTCCATAATACGACAAGTTGCGCACAGTCTGCTCAGATTCAAATACAGTGCTGCCAACAAATGACAGCGTGCAACAAAAAAATCTTTCCTTGCAAGGGCACATTTTCGGCCATAACTCTTGAACGGCTGGCCAGATCGGGACACGATTTTCAGAGAATTTGCAGCTAGTCATGCTCTTTCAACTGACGAAGCACTCAATACGAATTTACAAATTCGAATTTTCTGCGAATTTTTGGGTAGTCTGCCACCTTAATACAAACTGTAGACCGAGTGAAGATGAACCAACCAACTTCAAGTGAAGAAGAACTACGTATGCTGTTGACATTGGACTACAAGAAACAACAAAGAGCAATGAGGTTCATCGTTATCTACTATATCTAGATTCCGTCATATCTGAGATTATTGTTTCGGGTATCCCCCAATAGAGTAGCCCGTAAGAAGGCAAACCGTCCGTTGACCTCCCCACAGTAGAAACTGAATTAAGAAACACATTATTAAAGTTGAGCTCTTACCGGACCAAAATCCATGGCGAGGACAGTTTTCAGACGTGGTGGCTGGTTGACCTACTTCTAGCTGTTCCTGTCGAAGATGAGAGAGATGTCAGCTTGGCATTGAGATTTTATTCTTCCAGCAGGGGGGGGGGGGTCCTAACAAGGCATGGGCATCTGTGTATTATCTTTTTAAGTACCGGTATTTGTGTACCTGCGCTCCAACGTGCGCAACATGGTAGTACCGGGCACCGCAAAAGGCCGTTGTTTAGATTTTCCAGAGTTCTATGACCTGCAGATTTCCCTTTTAATGGACTCGGGCTTCTGCGCGCGCGAATATCACTTCGAAGCGCACGAGACGTATTAGGGGTTTGTGTTCCTGGTTGTTGTTGTTGTATTAGTCGCTTGGGCACTTTCAATTTTCAAAAGTCCTGTGTACATTTGAGTCCAACATTTCTAGCGCTATCCTAGCTGATAGAGTGGGTCTCTAGGAGTGTTTTGGCACTAGGGTGCCATCTCGGAGCTGGGGCATAAGGGAGCGGCGAGTGGAATACTGCGTGTCCAATTTCCTGTACAATTTAGATCATGTAACCATGGCAACGGCGCTGACTCATTCAAAGACTGGCAGAATTTACGTCGTATTGTCGACTTTCCGAGTTGCCTATGTGACTGTAAAGTACACCAGGCACGCAGATACATTGAATGTTTGATGATAGGATGATGTGGACTGTATAGACCTCTTCAGGTTCCTGAAATATCATACTATTTTTGGTTCAAAGCTAGCTACACACTAGAGCACAATCAGGTATGTACAGTAGAAAGTTACTCCTGTGATTAGTTTATACTATTGCAGAGTTCCATTACTAGATTCAAAGTTCCATAATGTGTGCCAGGATTTTATAGTTTGGTAGTATGAGTCCGTGATGATGCCCGAGCACTCAGTGTGGCATGACAAATCGGCAAATCACGAAGTACAGTTGGAAACCGCCTTACTGCCATCAAACAATCATCTCGTTATAACACAATCAAGCCTGTCTACCTCAGATAAGCAAGTGTCTTAGTACACTGTTCTTGATATCATAGGTGTCCTCAGTCATGGGACATTTGGTGATTATAAAAAGTACACAGCAAATGTTTAAAACCGGCACCTAAGAAATCACGGGATGGTCCACGCCTGTTATTAAAAATACACCAAAATGATAAGAATTCTCAAGGCAGATACCAATGCGCAGCAACACGTACACATACAGTGTTTGCATTTGAGCTGCAATTGCTGCAGTTGGCACTGAGTGTCAGTAACACTCTGTTAACAAGTTATGGCCGCGAGATACATGTATATAGCAAGGAGCATGACTTCATGCCTGGCGTCGCGGGTCACAAGAGAAAACCCGAGCATTAGAAATAATATTAATACACAATGAGAGGCTTTGGGATGCGTCTAGGCAATGCAGTGTAGCCATTCACTGTGGAGAGAGGAGTCAGTGACTGCTATACTAGGTTGTCGTGCACGGGTGACTTATAACCTAGTTACTTGCAGTGACAGTATCGGTAGGACTAGTAAGTATGCTGGCATAACCTGTACAGGCAAACAGTAGAAATAGCATGGAACATGACCAGGTACAAGTGCACAGCGAACATACTGAGGCGCGCTGTCGAAAAGCACGATGGAAGTGGTTGACCTGGAATGTTCTGTTGGGGACTGCCAGCTACACTTGGTTGAACGCAGCTCACTTCCCCGGTGTAAACACTGTAAGCCAACACACACAAATACATGACCTGTCTCAGCACCAAAGGAAACATCTGCCAGGCACAGAACGCGTTCACGCAGAAGATCTGTGATGGCGTGATACTTCTATGTACTATGGAAGGCTATGCACACATATCCTGACTATCTTACAGTATGTTTTACATGGAAGCTACCTTGCTTGGACCAACAGTGTGCAATCATGCACAACACACAGCCATGAAAAACTTACAAGTAACTACCTGACACTTGACTAACATTCACACTTGAAACATACTTAGGGAAATCAAACAGGCCTTACCGTGACCAGAAATCCATGGAAAGCTGATGTTCAGCAGTTATTCCGCGATCTTGTGGGAGGGGTTGTCAACATCATCAGTTTGACCATCTTCATCGTCAGCACTGTCTTCATTGTCTCCATGAAGTGTAGGTGCTGCAAGCACTTCGGACACAGCATTGTGCGGATTCGCGCAGGAACTGCATTGGCATGCATCGGTGCAAGAAATGGAGGACTGTAGGCATGAGCACCGGCGCGTTGAACATCCAGTGGCGCAGGCACACCGGATGATCGCCATCAGCTCTGGTGCAGGAGGAAGAAGACCCCACATGATCATGACATTAGAGTCGTCTACCCTCCATCCATGATCACTGTAGGTCTGGGGATGCGACCAGTGCCCTTTTCCACACACCAGCCTGGTAGTTGGCCCGTTTGACGTGCTGCTCCAAGCTATCGGCGCAGGGTGGGAGCTGAGCAGGGGGTGGGGACCGAGAGCAGAACGCCTTGTACCTGGCCTCGTTGATGCTCTCGAGTTCAGGGTGACCGTAAAGGTGGCAGACATACTTCTCCACTTCCTTCTGGAGGTTGACTGGCAGCACGAAATTGTCGCCCATGTGTGCTAACGCAATCTGGTGGCTTTGCTTGCTCTTTTAAAAGGACTTTCCACGCCTTCTTCTTTCCTATTCGGTAGAAGGAGCTGGTGCTGTCGCAGCCAGTGACCGCATGGAGGCCAAGCAAAGCTGAACACACCTGTGCTCCCAGCTTTTCAGCGACAGCAGAGATGTCCACGATGCGTGAGGCTGCCCGTCTGCCAGTCTCAAACAGCAATCGGGCTGGAATACTGGACGCTAGAGCAATGCACAAAACGAGGACGTCGGTGTCGGGTGACCGAATGACCACTGCCGAGTAGTCTGCACTTGCATGGTAGGCATGAAGCAGCATCCGCGTGTCGGCCTCCTCCTGTGTTGACCGGAGGCTTGGCACCTCTTCATACGCTACGTGGTCACCGTTGGCCTTCAGGAGGTAGGCCATGTCCCGGACTGTTATGACAACGCATCCCCCTTGCAGCAGCTGTGCGCACTCTGCAGATTTCCAGTGGTTGAAGAGGAACTGCATGAGCTCCTCCTTGTTGGCACCATTTTTCATGAACAATTTCCAGTTCCTTGGACATGGCTGGTCAGGCCGCAGAATTCTGGTGCGCACAGAGCCACCCGATGCACGCCGGCCTCTCTCAGCAGCCTTGATGGAGACATCCGGGTACCGATCGCCGACGCGCCAAGTTGTAGCCGCGCACTGCTTGCCTGCATCTGTGGCCTTTGCGAGGAGGTGCATGGCCAGTTTATCAAACGTGCGTGGCACGGACACAAGACCTTGTATGGTGGCCATTGCATCCAGTACAACAGCAGCACCCTCCGTAGGACGCGTGGCCAAGCATTGACGATGTTATTGCTCGCACTGAACGATATGCATTGGGTCAGTGGCTCCTTTTTCCCACTTCTTCTTTTTGACAGGTGCTGGCAGAATAGGCACAAATTTAAATCTGTCTGGCTCCCACTGGAACGGGTCCGCTTTTTGAGGGGCTCAACATCTCTTTGCTCAGGCTCGCTGTCATCACTGTCATCATCATCATCATCACCTTCACTGCCTTCGTCGCCACCAACAGCCTCGACGGGCCGGACAGACTCAGCAACGGCTGCCTTCTTCAAAGTCTTTTTGTTTGTGTACCACTTGTAGCAGGCTTTGTGGTATAGAACTTCGCCGCAAGTTTCTCTATCAAGATTTCCGATCGACATCCAAGTGTCATCTCTCTTCGTCTCAGCTGCATTCCATAGGGTAGTCCAGGTAGTCTCCGTCAAGCGCTTGAGAGGCTGATGAGCAGGAAAATTCGGGTTGTGACAAATGCATTTCACTCCTTCACCTGAAGCTTTCGCCAAGGAAACAGTTTCCAGCCCCAAATCGTCTGCCATGTCGAACAAGACAACTAACAACAGGAATCATAAACACTTGCACCTTCTTATCTGCCATCTACCTGTCTAGGTTGTCGGACAGATCGGCAAAGAAACTTAGAGAGGCCATGCGATCGGCATTGGATGAAAGCAAAAACACAATTATTGTCGAACCAGTCAAGTAAGTAAGTTTGAAATTTAGTCGTGGGCGGACGTCATCATCTTTTTCACTTGCGCAGAATTCGCATATGCGTGTTTTGAGCATGCGCTTAATTTGCACAGTGTTCGTCTTCGTATTCAAACAAGTCGCCGTAACTCCCTTCAGCCCCAACGCAGAAAAGGCACCCAAGCGCGAAATTGTTTGCCCTGCCGATCTCCAACACGTGCAACCACCCACGAAATGTTGGACTCAAATCGACACAGGAAATCAGAAACGAGCACTTTTTGAGAAAACGGCCAACTGACTATATACTTTATTTATAGTGGAAATCAAAACAGGCAAAATGCCTAATAACATTGGACCCACTGTGAATAACATGTTAAAGGATATTGTGGAAAAAAAGTAGATACAAGAGAAAAAGAGAAAGGAAAAAAGACGGAAGGTTGGTTGCAACGAACAGATATCAATCCAGTAAGCATTGGAAAACCTATGTCGCTGATAATATATACTGCAAGGCTTGAGATTTAAAATCCAAATACCTATTTGAACATTTTGCTGCTGGTGGCAATCTATTCCACATAATGGCTCCAGCGTGCGTTAGGCGCTTAGCAGAACGAGCAGTGCTAGCAGGTGGGACCACAAGCAAGTTGCTTTGGCCTCCCCGAGTGCGAGTTGAGGGCACGACAGCAAAAAAGGACTCAAACAGGGTGCTACATGCATCATGCAAACATCGCCAGATGAAACAAAACATATTCAAGTGCACAGAAACCTGTAGATCACATACATGCATTCGATTTAGCAGGGGAGCAGTACTGGTCCACGGTGGCGACTTGCAGACTGCCCGAGCGGCACGTTTGAACAGCCTATGTAGCCGTTGTTCCTGGGCAACTGTCAAATACGGGTAGTAACTAATAGAAGCATACAAAAAGTCAGGCAAAACGATAGATCTGAAGTAGGTGAGTCGGCATGGATACGGCAGCGAGGAAGCATGTCGCAGCAGGACAGCAATTTTGCCGGCA